TGTCGTTTTTTAATAGATACTTATGCAGTTACGATATAGCTGTGCAACACCTTTTTACTATCGCTTTCTATATTATATACGGATACGGGATGGCTTCGATTGTTCATATAAATAGGGACTTTGATGTATGTAATAATCACTTGCACAGACGCTGTCATACCGAGTGTACGCGGTTACAGTTTAATTGTCCAGTTGTACGTTGTTATATATTATACTTATACATAATCATATTGTCGTGTTATTACTTATTATATTAATACTAATATCATTAGTCCGTCAAGGTTCACTTTTAACAGGTTATAGGCCCAGTCAATAACCAAGACATACAGTCTAGTGGATTCGTGATCGAAGTATTTTTATATTTGTATTAACGCAGAAAACTACAACCAGTCGGAGATATCCTGGATTTCAGAAAACGGCGGAACAGTGTACATAGGTAAAGTTTTGTTATAAATTGTTATACAGGAAAGTATACGGGAAACCATCGGTCATGGAGGACACGGTGAAGATAACAAAATTATGTGCGGAAAACTGGTGGTTATGGAAATTCCAGATGAAGGTCATTCTAAATGCCTTGGAAGTGGGTGAGATAATTTCAGTGAATGGACGAAACCAAGTCTAAAGTCGATAAAAAAGTTGGCAAAGGCATACAAACGTTTGGCAAAAATCGGATGGTAAATGTCAGAAAATAATAGTTACCTCAGTGGACTATGGTCCATTACAATATTTGATTAACTGTGAGACTGCATTGGAAATGTGGGAGAAACTGCTGAGTATTTACGAGCAGAAGTCTGAGGCAAGTATACATTTGCTTCAACAACAATTTTTCAGTTATTCAAAGGAGCCGACAGATGACATGTCGATGCATATTTCTAAATTGGTCAATTTAGGAAGGAAACTGAGAGTAGCGGGTGAACCAGTTACGGATAACATGGTTATGACAAAAATACTAATGACAATACCAAAAGAATATAATCATTTTTACAGTGCTTGGAATTCAGTCCCAACGGGAAGTAAAAATATAAATAATTTAACTAGTCGTTTGTTGATTGAAGAATCACGGGTTATCCAGATCAAAGGTGAAGTTGGTGAACAAGAGAAATCGAGTGCATTTCCAGCCAAATTTCAAAACAGATCCGATGGAAAAAACGGCAGTTATGATAAAGGTAAAAAGCAATTTACTAATAAAAGTAATGTTAAATGGTATTACTGTGGTAAAATTGGTCATTATAAAAGAAACTGTAAGAACTTTCTAAGTAGTATGGAAGGTGGGAAAACCGGTACTACAGGTACAAATTTAAATGCATTTTTAAGCGAGTCAAGGATAAATGAAACTACAACAGATACGTGGGTTTTAGACTCAGGCGCGTCGGATCATATGAGAGCGAACCTAGAAGTTATGAACCATTGAAATATACACAACAGGTAACAATAGGTGACGGAACAAATCTGTATGCAACAGGAAAAGGTAATATTAATATATTATCATACTTGAACGGTAATTGGAATAAAAATTACTTGGCAAATGTATTGCACGTGCCGGGATTAAAATTTAATTTATTCTCGTGCGGGTCAGCGTTAGACAAAGGTTTAGAACTAATGTCAGACAATAAAACGTGTGTGTTCAAAAGAAACGGGATTCCTGTATGCATAGGCACAAGATGCGGTAGGTTGTTTGAATTACAGATCAAAGTCGAAGCACCGTCGAAAACTGAATGTTATGCGAACATTGCAGTAGAAAAACGATTAGAAGTATGGCATAAGCGTTTAGCTCACCAGAATATTCAATACGTGAGGAATTGTTTGGCAAAACATAATATTGATTATTCAGCCAAGGACGATCAATTTGTATGCAGCGACTGCATAATTGGGAAACAACACCGTCAATCGTTCAGTAAAAGTGAGACCGAATATTTTAACGTCGGCGATTTAATACATGCAGATTTATGTGGACCGATGCAGAGGAACTCTATCGGTATGTCAAAATATTTTTTATTATTTAGAGATGACTACTCACATTACAGAACGGTATATTTTATTAAGAATAAATATGAAGTAAAAAATATTATGGAAACATTTATAAAAAGTGTTAAAACAGAAACAGGATCTAAGGTCAAAATATTAAGGACAGATAACGGGTTAGAATTTGTAAACAAGAATATTACAGGTATTCTACAGAAATATGGCATACGACACCAAACTACGGTAGCATATACGCCGGAACAGAACGGGAAAGTCGAGCGTGATAACAGACCAATCGTAGAAGCTGCAGGACAATGATATGTGCGAAAAATCTTGACGTGTCATTATGGGCAGAAGCTGTGAACACAGCGGTTTAAACACTTAATCTAACCGGAACGAGTTCACAGATTGGTAAGCCACCTTAAGAGTTATATTATAAAGCCGTGCCAGATATTAAACATTTACGAGTTTTTGGTACTGCGGTGTATACACACATACCAAAGGAAAAACGTCAGAAATGGGATCCAAAAAGTTAAAAAGGAATATTTGTTGGCTATTCGAACAGCACGAAAGGTTATCGTGTATGGTATTCGAAAACAAATAAAATATCCGTGTGCAGAGACATTATATTCGAAGACGAATTTAATAATTATGAAAATGTAATTGCAGACACATTAGAGTTTACAGACACTCAAATTAATTCAACGGGCGTGCGTGAGAAGGACGAAAACATAGTCGATGATAGAAATGTTATGGTTCTACGTAACAGGAATACACTTAAGAATCCAGACAGGTATAATATTCAGACTTTTATTGCTAACTGTGTCAATCCATTGAATTATGATGAGGCAATTACTGGGTCAAACAAAAATAAATGGAATAATGCTATGAACGACGAAATTAATTCATTACACGAAAATCAGACTTGGACTCTAGTCGATTTGCCACAGGATAAAGTTGCATTAAGAAATGCATGGGTGTTCAAAACCAAATATAAAATTGACGGTAGTATAGATAAATTTAAGGCCAGATTGGTCATTAAGGGTTGTTCACAGAAATATGGTATAGATTACCATGAAACATTTTCGCCAGTGGTCAGATACGAATCAATTAGGGCGATATTCGCAGTAGCAGCTGTGGAAAAATTAATACTACGACAATTCGACATCATGACAGCATTTCTGTACGGGGAACTATGGGAAGAAATATACAAGGTACAACCACCAGGTTACGAAGATGGCTCAAATCAAGTATGTAAGCTTCAGCGAAGTTTGTATGTCTTAAAACAAAGTCCAAGATATTGGAATATACGCTTTAAGAACTTTTTGAATGCATTTGGTTTACAATGTACCGAAGCGGATGCATGTGTATTCAAAGCTGATAACAGCCAAATTATTCTTGCAATATTTGTTGACGATGGTTTAATCGCGGCAGATAATGAAGATATAATAGAGAAACTTTTAACGAACTTGGAGAAAGAGTTTGAGGTTAAAAAGGGAAACTTAGAATATTTTCTAGGTATGCAGGTAAGGAAAAATTAACATTCACTTAATGAAAAAGGGTTCATTATTTGTGCATCAGACAAATTATGCATGTAGCATAATTAATAAATTTAATATGCTGGACGCCAAGGAACTGTCAATTCCGATAGACAAATCACATACTATTGAACAAAATGAAGAATCGGAGATATTAAGTGAAGAAATACCTTATAGGCAGGCAATAGGTAGCTTACTGTTTTTATCACAGGTAACGAGACCGGATATAGCATATGCAGTAAACTTTGCTAGTCGTTACTTAGCAAAACCAACTAAAGCTCATTGGAACTTGGTAAAATGGATTATACGATATGTCAAACGAACATTTAATTATGGCTTGTATTTTAATCATAATATACAACTGTCATTAGAAATATTTAGCGATTCAGATTACGCAGGTAACGTTCAGACACGACGTTCAACGTCAGGATTTCTATTCAGATACGGGTCAAGCATAATTTCATGGACATCGCAGAGACAATATTGTGTGTCATTGTCATCAACCGAGGCTGAATATATTTCGGCCAGTGAAGCCAGTAAAAGGGATCATGTGGATTACGCGGTTGATAATAAGCTTATCAAAAACAGGTGATAACTGATAAACAACCGGTATTATTCATTGATAATCAGAGTGCTATTCGTTTAGTTAAGAATCCGGAGTTTCATAAGAGGACAAAACACATAGACGTACGATATCATTTCATACGGGAGAAATACGAAGAAGGACAACTTCAACTACTGTCCATTGGAACAGAGGATCAGATTGCAGACATTCCAACAAAGCCTTTGGTCAAGGAACGTTTCGAGAAATTGCGGTCGGCTGTAGGAGTGACTACAATTAAAGAAATTATTAATTGAAGGAGGGTGTTGAAATATACAATTAATTTTAGTATTCAAACCATGTAAACACACGTGCGTGTACAATGTCGTTTTCTAATAGATACTTATGCAGTTACGATATAGCTGTGCAACACCTTTACTATTGCTTTCTATATTATATACGGATACGGGATGGCTTCGATTGTTCATATAAATAGGGCCTTTGATGTATGTAATAATCACTTGCACAGACGCTGTCATACCGAGTGTACGCGTACAGTTAAATTGTCCAGTTGTACGTTGTTATATATTATACTTATACATAATCATATTGTCGTGTTATTACTTATTATATTAATACTAATATCATTAGTCCGTCAAGCTTCACTTTCAACAAATTCTTTATAATTATGTTTCAAAAAAGAAATACCTACTTTTCATTTAA